TGAGTGCAGGGTGGTAGTTTGTGGTGAGGGGCATATCCATATGTTCTTCATGTGAAAGGCCCAATTTAAGTTTTACATCATGTGAGTAAGCACATTTTTGTCAAGTGAAGACATTTTGACTGGTGTTCACATCTTCAAAGGCTTGTTTGAGAGGCATGGTTTTAGAGTTAGTGTTGTAATTAAATAACTTTATTAGGCTAGTTAAACAAATATAGAATCTTGGAACAAAGTGAAGCGTTGCTCAAGCAAAATTGTGGTTGAGTGGTGCTTGCAGGAAGCTTTTCCAGATAGTTTGTAGAGCTGTTTTTTAAACAAATAATTATTTAATGTACCACACACACATAGTGGTATTCATTCTTCAGTAAAAGCAGTAATTATCAACTGACAGTCACTGGGCCATATCTGACCCACAAGATCATTTAAACCGGCCCGTGAAGCAGGAAATTATGAATTATTTACACACAAGCTCACACAGAATTTGTTTGTAGTCCACCAGAGTCGTCTTCTTTCGGCGTTTCCCTCTTGAGTGGTTGCCACAGCGAGTCATCCTCCTACATCTCACACTGTCCTCTGCATCCTCTGTCCTCACTCCAACTATCTCCATGTCCTCTCTAAGTGCATCCATCTTTGTCTTTTTCCTGGTAGCTGCATTTCTAACATCCTTCTACCAATATACCCACTGTCCCTCCTCTGGACATGTCCAAACCATCTCAATCTGGCCTCTCTAACTTTATCTCCCAATAGTTCAACCTGTGCTGTACCTGCGATGATCTCATTCCTAACCTTATCCATCCTTGTCACTAAGGAGAAACTCAACAACTCTATTTCTGCCACTTACTGTTCTGTCTTGTCTTTTTGTCAGTGCCACTTTCCAAACGATACAACGTAGCTAGTCTCACCACTGTGTTGTAAAATGTTCATTTGACCTTTGCTGTCATGATTTTGTTGCAAATCACTCCTGAAACTATTTTCCATCCACTCCATCATGCCTGGACTCTTTTTCACGTCTTTACCACATTCCCCATTTTTCTGAACAGTGTACCCTAAATATTTGATATCCTGCACCTTTGTGACTTCTGCTCCTTGTATCCTCACTGTTCCACCAGCCTCCCTGTCATTCACACATGTACTCTTGTCTTATTACGGCTGACTTCCATTCCTCTTCTTTCAACTGCATACCTCCATCTCTCTAAGTTCTCTTCCACCTGTTCCCTGTTCTCACCACAGATCACAATGTCATCAGCAAAGATTATAGTCCATGGGGATTCCTGCCTGACCTCATCTGTTAGTCAGTCCATCATCTACACCCCCCTGAACATAAGAGGATCTGCGGTGGAAGTGGTCTCCAGCTACAAGTACTTGGGTGTACACATGAATGACAACCTCAGCTGGAGTAACAACACAACCAGCCTGATCAAGAAAGCTCATCAGAGACTCTATTTCCTCAGGAGGCTGAGACGAGCTGGTCTGGGAAGCTCAGTCCTCACCTCCTTCTACAGGTGTGCAGTGGAGAGCATCCTGTGCTCCAGCATCAACGTGTGGCATGGAGGCTGCACAGCTGCAGAAAGAAAAGCTTTGCAGAGAGTGGTGAAGGCTGCACAGAAGACTGTTGGAGTCAGCCTCCCCACCATCACAGACATCTACACCTCTAGATGCAGGAAGAGGGCTACCTGCATCATGAAGGACCTCACTCACCCAGCACACACTTTTTTCCCCACTCCCCTCAGGAAGGAGGTTGAGGAGCATTAAGTGTAGAACCACTAGACTGAGGAACAGCTTCTACCCTGAGGCTGTTAGACTCATGAATCTCTAACTAGAATAATCACTGTGAAAAACCATATCATGTTGCTGCTGATCTGTTTCATGTTGCTGTTGATCTGTTTCATGTTGATGTGTTCATGCGTGCACATCTGCTCACAGACTCATGTTCATGTTTGTGCTGATGTTCAATGTTTTTATGTTATGAGTGCTTAGTGTATATTTAGTTGATGTTTTTCTTAGTTCATATCTTAGATGTTATTACTGTTTTTCTTATACATTTTATTGTTGGATGCAACTGGGACCCTGTGTACATAATTTCGCTCCACCACATGTACCACATGAGGTGCGAATGACAATAAAGAATCTCTGACTCTGACTCTTATCTGACACTCTTTTCATTTCTACTACATTCTTTGTCAACTCCCCCTTCAAGACCACTGCTACTTAATTTCTCATTCTATTTACTCCATGGTAAAACTCTTTAAACCCTGCCCCAATGCTGCAAGCCTTGCTGCCCTTCCACTTGGTCTCTTGGACACATAAAACATCTACCTTCCTTCTCTGCATCATGCCAGCCAGCTCATTACCTTTGTCCCACATTTAGAGTTGCTACTCTCAGTCCTACATTCTTGACTTTCCTCTTCTCCCTATGTCTCCTGACATGTTTCCCTCCTCGTGGTCTTCAACTAACTGTATCACAATTTCTGCTGGCACCCTGTTTGTCAACAGCACCGGTGGTGGTCATTGTCAACCCAGGCCTCAACTGATCCTGTATGGTATCGCTTAGATGAACTTGCAAGTACCGGTAGTTCATCTTCTAGTCCACCAGACTAAAGACTATTTGAAGTCCACTACAGTAATGGTAAATAACAAAAATGCCTTGGCCAATTGGAGTGCTCACTCACAGTATGTGATCAGGCCAGACTCAGATGCTGAAATACAGCAGCTGTATGACATCCAGCTGTCCGCAGAACACAGAGTGGCTGTTTAAATCAGCAGAATTTCAGAAGCATAAACAAGGCTGGGATTCTAGTTTAAGTCCAACGTAAAGCAGATTTCTTTTCCTGCCGGTCTTAAATGCTTGCCATAAACATGGCCCATCAAAGATTCACCTCCCACGCTGCCTACTTAGAAAAGTTCTGCTCCTTGTGCGATTTTTTTCAAAATTCTCTGCACTAAAGCACAGGAGGATAAGTGAAACATGGTCATAAGACTTTACTAAAGGTGCTCATCGCAAAGTCATGAAGACCAGTCAAAACAATTTTAAAGTAGAAAACCGTCTGCACTTTTTTATATTCTTGGTAAACGTGTACTTTAGTTCAAAATTTGTGAACAGCGGTGCTTTCTTAATCTTCAAAAACAACAGAAGTGAGAAAAAATTGTTCAACAATGGCAATGTCCATAGAGGAGCCTTTTGAGGTCAAGGCAGCTAACAACTTAGATTAAATGATACACAATTGGACCAGATCTGGGGTTGTAGAAGCTTGGTGGTCAATGCTGCAGTCTCGTAATCCTGAGGTTCCAAGTTTGAGCCCAGGTTATGTCAGGAAGGGTGTCACATGTAAAACTAATGCCAAATTTTTTGTGTGACAACGCCTGCAGAAGGGAGCAGCCGAAAGAACAACAACATATAGATCATATTTGTTGAGTACAAAGGCCATAGATAAAAAGCCAATTTAGGTTGAAATTGTAAATGTACTAGTCTAGAAAATAGTTGCGCAAAAGTCACATGTTTCAATGCCGAGCTCTGTCTTCATGGCATTCCACCGCCTTTCTTGATCCATGATATTTAGAGTATTCTTGAAAGATTTCTTACTTGTTCTCTTTCCTTTCAAGTTTAGCAGCAGATTCCCACTGATATTTCCCCATAAATGTCTTCTCCGATATTCTATGCTTGTCCAATTACACCTTTTCTGTTTACATATGCAGCAAAATGTAGGTCAATAAGTGAGCCAAACTTCGATGTGGCTTTCAGTGGATTCTGTCGAGTGGCTTTATTTTCATGGAGTGTGTAGCTCCATTTCAGAACTGCCTATCAACATCTAGAAAACTACTTGAGTTAACGCTTTCAAAACGCACCGTCTGAAATAGTTCACTTTTATGCTTGATTTCATATTTTGCAACAAGTACCTTGAATTTTTGGTGCACATTTAAACCACATATTTCAAAGCTGCAAACTGTTCCACTGGTATTTGTAGATTACACTCTTCTAGTTACAATGAAGTAATAACTGAAGTTTTTAGGAGATTACCACAAAATCTCAATAGAAAAATTCCAACTTATGTTGACACTTGGACACAAAAGGAAAGTAAGACAATATTTGTTGTAATGAATTATGTTATTCATTTTTTCAAGTTGGGTTCACAAATTCAGAGTTGCATTCCTGATGATGATTCAGGAATTAATGAGTACATGCTTAAATCTGAGAAACTTTAAATGTGTGAAACTTTGTCTTAGAGAATGTCACTTCCTATTACAGTAAACAGGGGTTGTGTGTGTGTGTGTGTGTGAAAGAAATAGACTACATTAGTGTATGTGTGAGAGTGGCCTTGCTGTCATTGGCCCTCTGGCTGTGTCCAGTGTCTCTTTGAATTATTTGGCGAGGCGTTAATTGACATGGAGCCTCCACCTCATCATGTTTTGTCAGAACACGAAGGCCAGGCTGCCAGATCAACAAATCTTTGAGCTCCAAATTCTGCCATATGTCCAGCCATGTGTTTCATGTACCAGCTGGGAGCACTCAGCACTGTTCTTGTCTAACTCACTGACTGTGTGAGTACAGAGAACTGAGGGTTTAATGAGCATGGGATGGTGAAATGTTACTGCTGCGTTCGCTGTGTCTTTGTTTTGACTTGTCACCAACGCTGTCACATCCACTTTAATCCCACTACGGTTGCAATGTTAATGTTCTTTGGATAAAATACAAAAAAAAAAAAAAAAAAAAAAAAGCACGTGATTTGTGGATAATAGATAATTTGGCTTATGAGGTGGATATGGACATGGATTTGGATAGAAAAGATCCATTTTAGAAATATGAAGAGGCATATGCTAATAGCTATTTAGTACCCACATCTGATTACAAAGAAATTCATTTTTGACAAATATAACCTAAAAGTTGAGTTTTCCATCCCAGTGATGTCGTACCAACTCTGTTCTGTTAGGGAAATATGTAAATCTAAAATGATCCAGCATTTATGTAAAACTGGGAGGTTAATGGGAAAAGACTAAGGCTGTCTTACCTGATTCGGCGACCGAAACTCTTGGTTACTGTCATTCATGTACATGTTGTCAGCATCAAACTGTGAACAGAAACGGGAAAAAGATAAATAAACGTTGTGTGCAAGAACAGTTCTTGAAGAAAGAAATGGAGGGTTTCCTGGGAGGGCGTTACAAAGAGGAAAAGCTTTTTACGGGTGGCCTCAAGTGTGAGACTAATGACTTTGTCACTTTGGTTAAACCTCATGGTGGCATGGCAGCATGGGCAATTACTGTTCGTCAGCGGGCCGGTAATTAGGCTACATGAGCACGGTGACGAGAGATGGGCTTTTCCCTGTGGGCTCTGCTGCGTGTGTGAGAAAGGGAATGAGTGTGAATGAATCCACGAGTGCATTCAGTGGTGAAGTGTGCGCTCGCTGTGTTTGAGGGTGTGTTCCCAGCACATAACCAAGGCGTGCTGTGTCTTCCAACTTGAGCTAATCAGGCAATGAAGGATCACTTGCTGCAGGTGCCAGAACACTTCTTGACATGGGGTTAGAGCTCACGTAACAACAAATGACTCTTGACCTGCAAAGCGTGCTGGGAAATGACAACAGGTCAACAAATTACAACATGCCAGCTCCTCTGTCTAATTCAGAACTGAGCTAAATCTCTGAAATATTCCCAAGTGAGATCAGTTTTGAGGATCTACAATTGATGGAAAATACATAACACAGACTTGTTTAGATATAGATAAAATGAGATTGTGCTCTGTGCAATAGCAATCTGGCTCAAGCGATTCCAAAGACTTGAAGTTTAGTCGTACTTGCTGCAAATAAAAACAGACCTGGAAAAGACAGGATGATAATATTGACACAAGTACTCAGTGTCAAATAGAGCCACATTTTTTGTTTGTAGACTGAGGTCAGTCTTTGTAACTTCAAGGCAAAGACGATTTAGAGAGTGACAGCAGAAGAAAGCACAATCAAACTAGACAGCATTCCAAGTCAGATTCCTTAGATTTTAATATACTGGGGGGGACTTTTTCTTTTGGGGTCTGCTTTGTGCTACAAAGAATGTTTTTAAAAGCTTAAAAGATAAAAACAACTAAATAGAAGAGAACACAAATGGATCATAAGATGTACCTGGTGAAAACAATGTCCAAATACGTAATGGGTAGATATTAGATGAATTCCTTTGGGGGGGGAAATCTAATATCCATACTGGTAGACAGGAAAAAGCAGAAGTAGCTAAATGAGAATGTGAGCACTGAGAAAGAGAAATTACTGTACATTATTGCAGATGAAAGGTTGGGGGAATGAGCGTCTGCCTCGGGGCAATGGCTGGTTAACGATGCATAGAGTGGAAGCTCTTGTGAGGACACACATGCGTTTTATTGATTACATTTACATTCATCCATATACACAAACAGGAAGTGAGACAAGAGCTGCATATGTGTTGCATTTAGGCTTCATTCACATTCGCATGAATAATCCAAAAGCCACGAGTGAGAACTAGGCGTTTGCCTCAAGTGAAACTGAATGCTGACTAATTGTTTTATGCTGCATGCTGCAGATAAAGACAGACATTTGCTTAATCAAACATGGGAGTGTCTATCAGCGGAGTAACCTGCTGGTAGAAATGAGTGCAGGCAAGGAAGATGGACAAAGTGATGTTGACCTTGGAGAAATACCTGTAATAAACTCATCTCTCCTCCTATTATTCTGATCTAACGGAGCAATTTCATTCCTCTGGAATCTACTTCAATATCATGGGTGTTGTAAAGTCATAAAGAAAACATTTTTAAGATAAAAATCCCCCTTGGTGAAAAGAAAACGTAGTCACTGAACGATGCCATTTTTAACCCAGCAAAATGGCCACATCTTTAAGCACAGCTAATTTTACAATGAATTATTTTGAGTGCTGAGCTCCGTCACTGTTTCTTTCTGCTCCAAAGGAAGAAATAACTGAAATCACCACTTACATCTGTAATGAGATTATTATCTAAAAGGCCAAAACTGCCCAGAAAGGTCAGCCATTTTGTGCTTCAACATGGCTGCCCATATATTGCAATGTAAATCACTTTCCTCCTGCTTCTGTCTCAACGGTTCTGCTTTGCACTTTCTCACTCTTTCATTTAAAATGCCAATTTGTTGCTGGCTCAATGTTATCAGCTGAGCCATTACTCCACACAAACTGCAGAATTTCTGAACTCTTCTTTTTCTTCTTCTCCATTTTATTTTTTCCTCTTCATCTTTTTGTTAAACATCTGATTCTTTGCTCTCACCGTCCCCACCTCTTACCATGTTACAACCTGTCACGCTCCCTCTGCCCCTCTTTTCCTTCTCTCCTCTCTTTTCCTTAACGGGCCTTGGCATCGCTTCCTCGTCGGCAGCTTAATTGGGCATTCTGCCTGAGACAAGGGCCTCATTAAGCAGTAATTACACACATGTTGTTTTCGGCAAACATCTCTATTTGGATTGCTTTGCATGGTAATTGTTCAGCAGGGACCACTGCTTGCGATGTTTCAATTCGTGACACACGTGGTGCCGTTCGAGAGGAATAAAAGGCGTGGAGAAGAAGAGGGGGATGGAAGAACAGAAGAAAAATAATAATAGGTTGTGAAAGACAAACAAACTGAAAATACATGAGAGGGAAAGAAGGTGAGATTGATAAAGAAGCTAAAAAAGCTGACAGAATGAAAGCAATCCAGAGAGACATTGGAAAAAAGGACAAGGAAAAAGGGACAAATTCTGTGTTAGAGGAAATGAGTTAGAGGAAGAGAGAGAAATGAGAATGAGAAAAAGAAGAAGACAAGGGGAAAAAATCCTGAAAAAATAAAAGAGAGACTCCCAGAACTAGGTCATGCCAAGCAATCATCAACAAAGCTGAGCTTTTCAAAAATAATGAAGCCACAAGGTGGAAGTAACGCTAACTAGCATATCCAGGGAAACGGTAATATTTACACAGTTTTAATGGTGCAATACAATACTTGGATGTTTTCATCTAGGAGTGCTCAGTGAGACGGATGATGACAGGATTGGAGGCTCCGCTGAAGGTTGGCTTTGATTGATGGACAATTTTTATAAGCTCCTCACTAAGCCTTCCAGGCAACATCTGTTTGTGAGGAGGAGGATGGGGGTGAAGATCAACTGCCTGTGTGTAAGGCCATAACTTCTCAGTCATTAGAGAGAAAAATGACCTTGCACTAATAAAACACAATAAATAAATTAATTAATGCCAGGAAATGCTTTATCAAAGGAGATCGCTACGACCATTGGTGTCAAACCTCACATCACCAATTGTAATTAAGTATTTAAAATGAGACAAACACAACTCATTGAAGGTGCTTGCTGTTAATATGTCTGTTGCAGCACAATTAGATGTTGTGCAAATGTTCTTCTAAACATAAAGAATATGATGGTTTGTACTTCACATTTTATTGCTTATGGCAGCTTTCATGAGAAAAAGTATGATATTTAAAAACACTTTTCAAAATGGAGATATTAACTAAAGATATGGGCAAATTAAGAATATCAATAGAACATAAATCTTTATTTTATAGCTGGTTTATATATATATATATATATATATATATATATATATATATATATAATAATGTGGGCAGCACGGTGGTGCAACTGGTAGAGCTGCTGCCTCTCAGCGAGCAGGTCCTTGGTTCAAACCCCGGTCCAGGGGGCTTTCTGAGTGGAGTTTGCATGTTCTCTCAGTGCGTGCGTAGGTTTTCTCTGGGTACTCCAGTTTCCTCCCATCCATCCATCCATCCATCCATCCATTTTCTTTACCCGCTTATTCCATTTTGGGTCACGGGGGTCGCTGGTGCCCATGTCCAGCAATCACTGTGCGAGGGGCGGGGTACACCCTGGACGGGTCGCAAGTCCATCACAGGGCCACACAGAGACAAACGAGACAAACAAACATTCACTCTCTCACTCACACCTAGGGACAATTTAGAGTTACCAACCAGCCTAACATGCATGTTTTTGGACTGTGGGAGGAAACCGGAGTACCCGGAGAAAACCCACGCATGCACGGAGAGAACATGCAAACTCCACCCAGAAAGGCCCCTGGACCGGGGTTTGAACCAAGGACCTGCTCGCTGAGAGGCAGCAGCTCTACCAGTTGCGCCACCGTGCTGCCGGTCGGTTTCCTCCCACAGTCCAAAAACATGCATGTTAGGCTGATTGGTAACTCTAAATTGTCCCTAGGTGTGAGTGAGAGAGTGAATGGTTGTTTGTCTCGTTTGTCTCTATGTGGCCCTGTGATGGACTTGCGACCCGTCCAGGGTGTACCCCGCCCCTCGCACATTGACTGCTGGACATGGGCACCAGCGACCCCCGTGACCCAAAATGGAAGAAGCGGGTAAAGATAATGGATGGATGGATGGATGAAAATTATACTGTAATAAGCTTCAATCTAACTATAAGCAATAAGAAAGGCAGATTGTTTAAGAAATAAAATGCAATAATAAACCTGCATAGCTGATAAATCACTGAAACCACAACGACACTTATAAAAATGAAAGTTTGATTGTATTTTTGCATCTGACTGCAGTTGTTTTAGTAGAATCAAGAGCTCAGAATCTTCTTCCTACATTTTCATAACTGTCCCTCATTCTGAGTTCATCGCGCGCCACCTATTGGCCTGGAGTGTAACCTTCAGTGTTTTTGAGCTTTTTCTTATTGTCTGTATGAAGATTTAAAAAAAAAAAAAAAAGCATTTGAAAATATTGTGTGTGGATCAGTTGAAGGTTTTCACGTTTTTGCTTTTTTTTAGCTACATTTTGGAAAGAAAAATTGCACTTAGTTTTCCATTGCATTAATAAATCCCAGCTATGATGTTGTGACAGACATGATACCATTTTATATTTGTCAGGTATAATTTAAAATTACTGCTTGCATGCTAAAAAACCAATTTGTAAACATCCCAATAGCTAAAATAAAGTAAAAATAAAACATGATGGTATTTTTGATTGTGTCAGTACATTTTTTACCTACTAATAATCACAGGACTTTTCTCCCATGCACAACAAGACAGACAGTATGATATTAACAAAATATGAAAATGTAGCAAGAAACTGCAT